CACAATAAAAATGATTAATCAACCTCTCATAATTACAAAAAAATGAACAAAACGAAAATTTATGATTGGTTGAATGAGGTTTTCACGGTTTTTACAAATTGAGTGGTTTTTACAAATTGAGTGGTTTATATATATATATATATATATATATAGAGAGAGAGAGAGAGAGAGAGTGAGTGAGGTACAGGGGAAAGCCCCCCAAAAAATTGAAAATTTGAAAGAATACTCTAATAACCTTTTATATGTACGGTATGCACATGTGCATACACATAATTGAAAATGTTTTCTGGTTTCTATGCACATGTGCATGTTATGCATGCCTACATACAAATAAATGGTTGTTAAGGTCTTTCTCAGTTTTTAATTTTTTGTGCACATACATACATATATATATATATATATATATATATATATATATATATATATATATATAAGGCTTGTTAAGGGTTGGGTTCACGTGAGACCAAGGGTTTTTCGTGAGACCCGTAAGACCAATTTATGTTCATTGATCAAATTTATGAATTAATGATCTAATGGTTGCAAAGTTGCAAGGTGGCAATTTCGTAATTAGTGAGAAGTCTCGTGGCGTTTATAAATGTTCAGATCTGACGATTGTAAATCTAATCCAAGGGTTGAGAATTGGTCTTACGGGTCTCACGAAAAACCATTGGTCTCACATGATCCCAAGTCGGCTTGTTAATATTTTAACTTATATTAACATTTTATTCTAACGTTCATACACTTATGAAATTTTTATTTCTCATGCAATCCCACTTATATATATATATATGTGTGTGTATAAAATTATATATAGACACGTAAGTACGCAGGGTTGGGTTCCGGTGAGAACACCCCCTTTCATCATACGTGAGAAAAAGTGACGGTGTATCCTTCTATTGTGTGGATGTTAGCCGTGAGAACTATGAAGATACCTTCATATTGTGTGAAGATGACAACATTCACACAATATAATGTAACATTCCAATACAACGTATGAATAGACCATGCAGCGAGATTTACCTGAAACATTTTGAAGTGCAGCAAAGGAAACACGCTCCGCAAAGGAGGGAATGAAAGCTTCTTCACAATCTAGAATCGGTTCTTGTAGAGCCCATTCTAAGGAGTTAGCTGTTTGGGTCTGCAATGGTTCGTCTTTGGCAGCCTAAACATCGGCATAAGCAAATAAGTTAACAATTTTTTAAATGAAATTATTATGACGAGACTCGATGTATCACCATTTCCCGGTTCAAAGTGTTTGTATAACTAGCCAGTTCTCCATATGGGCTACTTAAGGGTGCGTTTGGTATCGAGACATGATAGAATAGGACAGAACAGATAAAATGATCATTTTACTCCTAATGAGTTGTTTATATATTTTGATTAATTATGTAATTCATTAAATTATAATAAAATAAATAATTTTTATAATAAAATATATCATTAGAAAGTTTTCGTCAAGACGATAATATGACAACAAAAATAAAAAGCTCATGTAGTTTCCAATTTTTATCATACACCTTTTCTATATTTTTTATTATTAATATTAAATAAAATCACATAGATTAATCAAAATATAGAAACCATATAAAAATAATATTTTGAGGACTGTAAAATGACAAACTAAAAATAATATTTTAGAAGAGAATTAAGTTTTATTTTGAAGTTATATTAGTAACATATAAGTCTGTTCCACCTTATTCCATGGGGTGGGGGTGGAACACTCCTGTTCCATTTTGTTCCACATAGAAGTCCTTTCAAACGTGAAACAGTGATCTTCTGTGTTGTCCAATATACCAAATGCACCCAAAGAGTAAAGAGACTCACGAAGAGAGAAAGAGTAACCTTTAACTTTATTTCCAAGCTATTCAAACCGTGAAGAGCTTCTTTCAGTTCTTGAACCTTAGAGCTTATTTCACTTGCATTCTGCGGAACATTGTCCTGCAACGGTAATACTGTGCCTTCCAAGAAAGGATCTACCTACAGAATCACTGAAAGTAAGGACCTTCAAGAAAATACTCCTTTAAAAGAAATCATTTATTATTTATAAACAATTAAATAATTCTTCTCAAGACTCAAACACCCTCTTTGTTTTGGTTATTCACAAGTGAATATGTCGGTCCAAGATTGAAGCAGTAATCTCATTCATAACTTGCCAGGAATTGAGTCAAGTGTTTCCAACAATATCCATTTTTTGTTACTATTCTGTCGACATGATTTAGATATTGCAAAAGAGGTGAGCCAACATAATGATATATGCAACGCCCCAAGCACAAAGCAACAGGCTAACTCAATAACTTCTAATTCAACTTAAAACCATGGGAGAAGTTTTCGGTAACCCATAACTTGAGTCTTGTAAGGAGTTCGCAAATCTCATTTTCCATCCATGTGAGACGGTGTTTGTCAGATTGTTCAGGATCAGGTCTTACCTCCCTAGCTTCTGCAACATATCTGTAATTCTTTGTTTTTGATAACCATACAGAATTCAAAAGTGAAAATCTGTTGTCTTCGTATTCAACCCCCCCCCCCCCCCTTCTTACAAAAAGTCATTACTATTCCAGGACCAACAAACGAGTTGTTACAATGTACAACTAGAAGTATGTCATTTCAATTACCTTTGCAAATTTCACAAGTGTGACACGGCCAATTCCCCTAATAGTGACCAAGGCCCCGACATCTAATTGTTCAACCTGTCACAGAACTGAGAGAACAATGAGTTTGACTGAAAATTGGAAAACATAAAGGAACTGAAACTTATGCAGAAGGGAGAATCTGATAATTATTGGAAGCTTACCTTCTCTATAACAACCAAACAACCATATCTAGCAGCAAAGGATGCTTCTTTCGACATGGAACTCACGACAATTGGATCCAACACAAAATGCACAAAAAGCTTCTTCTTTTTGAATAAGGACTGCAATATTTGAAGTAAAGAATTATGGATACAAGTCAAACTGGATCGTTTTTGGTGGTTTGAGTGGTCTGGTGGTGTGATTCGGTCTGAAAAATAGCCAAACCGCTCGGTCGGGTCAGGTTTGCTGTTTGAACGTTTTCTTTGAGTGGTTTGTACTGAACCGACCGCCACAATACATATATTAATTATGTTTAGTTTTCATGTTGTAGGCTACACTTTTATAGTCCAATTAGAAAAAGGTATGTCCAAGACATTCAGTTTTTAGCTTTCACTTCTCAATGGTCCGCGTTCCCTAAATTGGCAAAATCTGAAATCTGTCAAAATCCGAAAATCCTAACGTCCTTCGACTTGCTCATTGTTTGTCCAAAATTCCAACGATTGTTGATGGACTTGTTTAACTTTTTTTCAACTTGCTCAATGTTTTTTACCGACTTTGGAGATAGATGTTTTTTTTATAGTTCTTTATAGTATTTTTTTAATAACGTTACATTGATGAAAATAATTCATTTTGTAGAAAAATGTTATGTTTTTTTTAGTTTAAAACTCATAATAGGCTCAGACCGCCTATAAACCGGTTAGACTAGACCTTTTTTTAGTGATCCGGTTTGATCGGTTTGGTCACTTGCATCCAAACCGCTAGGTTTGCGAAATTTCCTAATTTTTGGTTTCGGGGTTAAACCATCCAAACCGGAATGGGTTGGAGTAACGAACTTTACTAAAGTCAACAGATCCTAGATATCAAGAAGCATAAGACTATTCATATGTTTACACGCAATAGGTAATGAAGATGTTCCTAAAAGCAGGATAGAATATAAGATTTAATACCTCGTCCAACAACTTCAGATACCTTGCTTCAAATAGGTGAAGTGTCTTAGTCTCAGATGGAACAAGCACCTGCGATACATAAGAAAAAAGCCTGTCAAGTTTAAAGAATGGTCGCCCATAGAGTGTTGATAGATATATCGGTTTTCCATACTCTGAGATCCCACATCGGTTAGGGAGGGGAACAAAGGTTGCCTTATAAGGGACTGGATACCTCCTCTGTTAGACGCGTTTTAAAACCGTGAGTCTAGGTGTATATAAAGTAGACAATATATGGTACGGTTGGCTGGGGATATTACAAATGGTACCAGAGCCAGGAATAAGACCGGTGTGCTAGCGAGAACGTTGGGCTCCCTGATGGGGGTGGATTGTGAGATCCCACAAAGGTTGCCTTAAAAGGGACCGAATACCTCCTCCTATTGGACGCATTTTATAAAACCATGATTCTAGGCGTAGATAAAGCGGATAATATCTGGTACAGTTGGCCAAGATGTTACACATACGCAATTAGAAGAGCATAAGTTTCCTTACACAAATAGGACTTCATATCATTTCAATATCATGTATGACAAAGGGGTAATTCGGATTCTTATCCATGTTGACTAAATCACTCATCATTTGTTTGATCCCACGCCTTGCAATAGTATAGCTAAATCTCATAAGTAGCCATCAGCGTGACCATAAGATCATAGTTCTGTGTGCAACAAAGTATAGCCTTACACCCCATTTAACGCATGATAGGTTGTTTTGTATTTAAAAGAAACTATGGTTCAGAAACCCTCTTATGGCCTCCAAATGCCATTGAAATACTACTGAAAATTTTAACTTATAAACTCAGGAAATGTATAGTATAAGGGTACCCTATGAATTTATATGCATAATTATATATGGTTTTCCTAAATGAAAAGTACCCAAGTAAACTTAGGATCTGTTTGTTAGCAGCTTAATGAGCTTAACGGACTTGCAACTTATTCGGGTAGCTATAGAAGAATGTTTGGTAGTGGTTTAATGATATAGAAAGTGGCTTATTTACTAAGCTTTTAGGGGGGAGCTTTATACAAAAAGCCAAGATTTTTCCAAACCTACTCCCGATAAAAAAAACACGCTCCTTCCCTCTATGAAAAAATACTCCCAAATAAAAACCTTCTCAATCTCCACAGACAGATTAAATGATTAATCCACACATACATCTTTATCCATGCAGAACTTGATGAAAAACCAACCAAACAGCCCCTTATTTAAAAAATGAACACCATTTCTTACATTCTAAACACAATCATAGAGTCAACTAATCATAGAACTCTTAACTGAAAGCTAGACAAACTTACATAAGATGATGCATTCACTCAGTTTATTTATACATATAGGCTAACAATGGCATCATGCATATCTACTTTCAAATTTCTACATTCCCCAATCAATGAGGAACCCAACTGAATAATCATGTCACCGGGATCCCAACTTTGTTCTTGTTTAAAAAATGAAACATAGGTCTATACAGACGGCCGGAGAATCTTTCCACTCACTTATAACTCACGGAACTGCCAATATCCCATCTTTTCCAGAAGTAGAAATGCTCGTATAAAGTTCTTAAAAACTCAAAAAAACTTGATATATTTGCTAATATCACTCTTGATTTCATCCCAAGATGAGAGATCATGGAAAAGAACAACGGAAGTCGAACAAGAAAATGAAGCATTCGTGTTTGTGGATTATTCGAACTATAAACAGACAAAGCATCTCATTATTCTCATGCATACAAGAGCTATAGGTCTATATCCTTCATTTTTTCGAAGTGTATATTAGCATTAGCTGAATGTAGCAGTCTACAGGCTCATTTTTTTCTTTATAATTAAGTTAAATATTTAACCAGCTTATCATGTTTAGATAGTTACTTGATTAGCAGACTTAATGGCAACACAATTTCATCATTCCCTTCCCTCCATTGCTTTCTATCACCAAAATTCCTTCTCTCTCTATCTCTATCCCACAAGCTACTTCAAGATTCTTCAATGGCTGCCTACCCATTCCACAAAATTACCTTAGGAAGGGGGCGTAATCAAAAGTTCGAATGTCAGAACAACTGAAACCGCTAACGGTAAGCTTCAAGATTATAATCAATTCTAAAAGCCATAATTGTAAGCTTCAATATGGAGACAATTACGAGTTTTGCCCTTGACAAGCGATAGGTTTCGCATCAAAAGGCAAATACATGAGAAATTGCCATCGATTGTGTGCTTTACCAAATGAAGAATCATGGAAAAACAACTATAAGAACAAAATTACCTGATCAGAAGGAAAAGGAAGAAGTGGGAGCTCTAAGAAGCCAGCGTAGGTTACAAAACTGCATCGTAATTTCTTATTAGAACCAACCCCATGATTACAAACTCGACTCAGTAGGTGGAAATGATTAAGGTTTGTAATTGAGCTTCCTCCTATTCTTCTTCCTAGTGCAAGAAACGAATTGGGAGTGATGTTGGAGAGAAGAAGAGATGATGGAGTAACGGCAGGAATGGAAGTGGAAGCGATGTTTGTTGTGAGGGCATTGAGAGTGGTTCTGCAACTCATTTTCTGATGAGTTGAGTTGGGTAGAGAAGGATTGGGCTTCTTCGGCCATGATTGATCGATCTTTACCGCTCAAAACGAACAGTATGTGGAAACCTGGATACCCACGTACCCGTCTGACGGGTTGCATTTGATCCAAAACAAACTTTATCTTTTGAGTAGATGCTTGGGTTGATCATCGGGTTGAATTTGAGGTTTTAAAAATCTTAATTCAATCTAAATCAAGCTGCAAACATTTTGCTAAATTAAAATATTCTTTTAATTTTAAATATGTTATTTTTTTACTCATAATTTTTTTTCATCATCAATTATTTGATACAATTTATCCATACTTCTTACGTATATCACATTTAGTTAATTTTTTTAATTTATATATATATGTTCACAGTCATTGAACATATATACGAATGAGTTATATAAAAATGTGAATAGATTGAAAATATGTGTATATGAAGAGCGTACATGATAATGTAATTCTCTTACACACACACACATATATTAATAGAAATTCAACAATCATATTAAATCCAAAAAAATAAAAGGATATCGGGTTCATCGTGATGAGTCGAGTTCAAATAATAATAACCTAATATCAACCTAATACTTATGGTTTGAAAAGTTTACAACTCGATTAGACGTCGAGTTGCTTCGGGTTGAGTTATTTAGCATTAGGATGGGTTGGTCGGGTTTTTAAACACCTCTATTCGAGTTTTGCACACCCCTAATTTTAAATATATTTAAAATAAGATATTTATCATGTATTTGATTATGTTTATCAATTAGTTATGAATCCAAACATTTATTTCAAAAAATTGTATTCATGTACCACTTACTTGTAATATTGAATTTTAAATAGGGCAAAATACGCGAAATAACAACTAACTTTTACAAAATTTCATATTATACTTTCAGTTTTTCTTATTACATTAATGTGCTTTCAAAAATTTACACGTTATAGCATTGAGCAACTTTTAAAATTAAATTTACCCATTATACCAGATTTATTTGCCACCTCATCTTCCATGTAGGTTGTCCACATGTACGATACTACTAACATGACATTTCTTATTATAGCATTATACTTTCAAAATACTTTATTATAATATCACCAATTTCCATTACAACATTGTACTTTTAATTTGAATATTTTTGTCTTTTAAACATTGTAAATTTAATCAAATATGTTTATTAAAAATTATAATAAATATTATTTGAGATCATAATATTTTTTTTTTTTGACATATTATAGAAGACAAAAAACACCCAAATTGATAACTTTTTTAGCATTAACATATTTGCAATAATATATCAAACAATATATGAAA